GTGATAGACAGCAGCGATGGACTGCGTCACCCAGTGATAGACAGCAGTGATGGACTGTGTCACCCAGTGAGAGACAGGAGTGATCAAGTGTATCACCCTGAGAAACAGTAGTGACTGCGTACATCGGGCATCACCCAGTCAGAGACAGGACTCACTGAGTGTTATGACCCACTTAGGGGCTGGAGTGATCAGGAGCATCACCCAGTGAGAGATAGAAATGACCAAATAAATCACTAGATTCAGGATAAACTATCAGCAAAAACATTTCTTTTCCTTGACATATGTACAACTTTTACATTAAAAAAAGTTGCAAAAAACAAACTCTAACAGAACACTCAGTGTTTTAATCTTAAATGTCACAAAACAAGTTAACATTATGATCAGTTAAAAACCAAGGTCTCCTGTAGTTTTAATGTTGAACATAAACTTCAAAGTGTTGAAGAACTGTCAACACTGCCAAAGTCTTCTTTTCCATCCTGGAATATCATTTCTGATATTGATTCAACTTCTTGGAAACATAACCCACCGACTTCTCCATTCTGCCCTCATTGTCCTGAAGAGAACTATTCCAATTCCCAAATCAATAATGCTAATCTAAAAAGTTTGTAAAGTTAGTGTGCCATTAATACAGGTTCATTTGTCAAAATTGCTTTCAGCTTTTCAAAGGCTGCCTGACATTCTGTTGACCATGGCATCTCCATCTGTTTTTGTATTAAGGTTGATCAAGGTTACAGCTATCATTCTGAATTTGGATACAAATAGAGTCATAGTCATAGAGTCAGACCTGAAAACCTAATTATATTTTGTTCTGTTTTAGAGATGGGGAATTCAATCAAAGCTCTTACTTTTGCTATTCTGGGTGGCACTTGATCTTGTCCTAAAAAAATGTCCCAAATACGCTTTTAGAGTAGATTTGTAGCTCGGGTTGTGGATGTTGTGGTTGGTTGGCTCGCTGAGCTGCTTCGTTGTTCCGCAGACGTATCATTACCCTGCTGGGTAACATCATCAGTGCAGCCTCCGACATAGCGCTGTTGTGTTTTCCTGCCTGTTATTTAAACTCTGGTGTCCGTTGGCATGGATTACTTCACTTCCAGTTTTCCTTCGCAGTGGAGTGTATATGGGGTCGAACTCTGTGTTTTATTGATGGCTTTCTTAGTGGAGTATCAGGCTTCTAGGAATTCCCGTGTTTGTCTCTGCTTTGCTTGTCCCAGGATCCTGGTGTTGTCCCAATCGAATTGGTCGCTCGCCTTATCCATGTGGATAGAGATCAGTGAGTATTGGATGTGTCTTTTAGTTGCCAATTGATGTTCGTGTACCCTTGTGATTAATTTCCTTCCTGTTTGTCCAATGTAGTGTTTGTCACAGTCTCTGCAGGGAATCTTGTATATGACATTGGTCCTGTCCATAGTGGGTTACAGGTCTATTGTTCGGGTGAGCAGTTGGCGAAGGGTTGACATTGGTTTGTGTGCTACTCCGGTGTCCAGTGGTCGTAGGAGTCTTGCAGTCAGTTCAGATGTGTTCCTGATGTAAGGTAGTGTGATGAGTGTAGTAGCTTCCTGGTGTCATTCTTGTGATAGGCATCTTCTGACCCAGTTTTTCAGGTATCCATTGTCTTTGAATACCTGGAAGAGGCACTCTTCTTCTTGGCGTAGCTCTGTGCTGCTGCAGTGTGCTGTTGCCCTTTTGAATAATGTTCTCATGCAACTTCGTTTGTGTGTATTAGGGTGGTTGCTGTTGAAATTCAGTACTTGGTCAGTGTGTGTGGCTTTCCTGTGTACCTTTGTTAGGAATTCCCCATTTGTCCTGTGCTCTACCGTGACACCCAGGAATGGGAGCTGTTTGTTCTTATCCTCTTCTCTGGTGAATCTGATTCCAGTGAGGGTGTTGTTTATTAGTTCGTATGTCTCCTCTAGTTTGGTCTGTTTAATAATGACGAAGGTGTCATCCACGTAGCGTATCTATAGTTTTGTTTGGATTAGCGGAAGGGCCATACTTTGTAGTCTCTGCATCACCGCTTCAGCTATTAGTCCGGAGATAGGTGATCCCATGGGTCACCTGTTGATCTATTAATATATTTGGCTGTTAAAGGTGAAGTGGGTGGTGAGGCATAGGTCCAGTAGCTTCAGCATGTTGTCTGTGGACATGGTGTCACTGGGGTCTTGTTCTTGTTTGAGTAGTGCTGTCATTGTTTCTCTTGCTAGTGGCGTGTCTATCGATGTGAATAGGGCAGTAACGTCAAATGATACCATGGTCTCGTCGTCATCTATTCTTATGTCCTTGATGGAATTGAGGAACTCCTGGACTGAGTGGATTGAGTGGGCTGACTTGCTGACAAGGTGCTTTAGTCTCCTTTGTAGCTCCTTGGCTAATCTATGTGATGGCATGCCTGGCAGGGAGACTATGGGTCTGAGGCGTACTTCCGGTTTGTGTACCTTCAGAAGGCAGCAGAATCGAGGGGTGTTAGTTCCTTCAGGTTTCATTCTTAAGAAGTCTGTTATGTTGATCTGTCCAGTCTGTTTGAGTCTCTTTAGTGTGTTGAGAATCTTGTTGCCCAGTTGTGGTGTCGGATCTGTCTGCACTTGCCGGTATGTGTTCTCGTCGGCTAGTAGTGCATGTGCCTGGGAGAGGTAGTCCCGTTTATTTAGTATTACTGTCATGCGCCCTTTGTCTGCTGGTAGTATTGTGATGTGCTTGTCCTTTTTCAATCCTTCTAGGGCTTTCCTTTCAGCTGTGTTAAGGGTGTTGCATTCGCTTTTTCTGGTCAGTGTCGGGATCACTGTCTGTCTTATGGCTTGTTGTGTTTCTTTTATTGATGCTGTTGGTCCTCAGTGTGGTTTCCAGTGTGGCTAGGAATTCTGTTTTGTTGGCGTCTCTGTCGTTGTAGTTGAGTCCGCGAATGAGAACAGCTTTCTCTGTGTCTGTCAGTTTCCTGGCTGAGAGGTTTCTTATCCAGGTGTCTGCTCTGTTGTTGTCGTTTTGTTGGGTTAGTTTGACTAGTTTATCTCGAAGGGTCTGTCTTTTCCTGGCTCTTGTGGTCTGTTGACTGATGTTGATGGCTTGTTCTAGGTCCGTTGTCCAGTCTTGGTTGGCAGCTTCCAGGAATAAAGTTTTTTGGCGTGTAATTTCTCTGTTATATCTGTGGAGCCAGTTGTGTGAGTCTTTTGTCATTGCCTTTACCATCCTGCAGCTGTTGTGTTCTGCCGTTTTACGAGCTTGTGGGTTGTTGTTGGGGTGTTTGTATTTCACACTGCGTGGTAATACCTGGTTCCTGAGACATATATGTAGGAAGTAGAGTTGTGACGACACCTTCGTCATTATTAAACGGACCAAACTTGAGGAGATTCACGAACTAATAAACAACACCATCACCGGAATTAGATTCACCAGAGAAGAGGAGAAGAACAAACAGCTCCCATTCCTGGATGTCATGGTGGAACGCAGGACAAATGGGGAATTCCTAACAAAGGTACACAGGAAAGCCACACACACTGACCAAGTACTGAATTTCAACAGCAACCAACCTAACACACACAAATGAAGTTGCATGAGAACAGTATTTAAAAGGGCAACAACACACTGCAGCAGCACAGAGCTACGCCAAGAAGAAGAGTACCTCTTCCAGATATCCAAAGACAAAGGATACCCAAAAAACTGGGTCAGAAGATGCCTATCACACGAACATCACCAAGAAGATACTACACGCCCTGAAACACTCATCACGTTACCTTACATCAGGAACACATCTGAACTGACCACAAGACTCCTACGACCACTGAGCATCAGAATAGCTCAACGGACACCAGAGTTCAAATGACAGGTGGGAAAACACAACAGCGCTTCATTGGAGGCTGCACAGATTATGTTACCCAGCAGGGTAATGAATCATCTGCGGAACAACAAACCAGTTCCCCAGCTCAGCGAGCCAACCAACCACAATGTCCCAAATACATTACTTTCGCTTTTGTAAGTTCACTTTTTTGCTAGTTGTAACATCAACTCTGCCAACTGTAATTGTTTAAGCAAATTGTATAACTATTCTACATATTCCTTTGTGATGATACTGTGCCTTAAGAATGTGTTCTATCCTGTTTCTCTTGCAGAAGAGTTTTGTCATAGTGGCGCTGAGGCGTCTGCTCCCAGCAGGCAGTTTGTAGATAGCTGTGGGTTTCCCCATGGTTGTTTTTTCAGATTAAGACAAAAGAATCATGAGTGGGCAGGGTCACACAGTCTCAAAGGACTTTGGTTTTGCTTTCAGTTGGTTTTTTTTTGTTAGCTGCTGAAGTGGATAGCTAGTATTCTCCCTGCTGTTAGATTGAAGACTTAGAGAGTTATCCTCTCAGAAATCAGAAGAGATAGATTGTTCCTTTCAGTTTTCATTCTACTGGGCTGGAGAGAGACAGCATGTGAGAATGACTATTTTGCTGCATTGCATTTTGTCAAAAAGTGTTTAGGTGATGCCGCCCATATTGGAACAGTTGATGATTAGGGATTAAATAATACATTGTTAAGTGTGCCAATAGAGTACCGCTTCTTCATTTTGTTACATTTTAATTGCATTACGAAAAAAGAAAGTATGTTTTGATTAAATCTTAGTGGTGGGCCAATCAAATTATATCTGGAAAACAGTACCTTACACTTGCCTTTAGGGTCTAGCCTATCTCCATAATATATTTTGTTGGGAGGGCAGGGAGCTGGTCTCTAACACTTTCTACATACTACAATATCATCCAAGTAAACTATACAATTAGGTACTTTGGCTATAACTCTCTTCATTATTCATTGAAATGTGGCTGGGAAATCTTAAATCTAAATGGCATAACCCAAAATTGATATAATCTATTGAATGTGCCAAATTGTTAATTTCCTTTGCTGTTGTCAATGGCATCTGCCAGCATCCTTTTAAGAAATCAATTTTGGTTAAGAATGACACACTACCAACTCTATCAATGCAATCTCCTTGTCTAGGAATAGGGTATGAATCAATCTTTGTGGCAGTATTCATTTTCCTTTAGCCTACACATATTCTAGTTGAAATGCATGGCTTAGGAACGTATATTATAGGAAAGCTCCAATTATTCTGGCTTTGTTTGATCAATTGATTCTTCAACATATGTCAAATTTCTTTTGTCACTTGAGCCTGCTTCATTTAGTTTAATCAATGTGGGTTTTGATTTATCGGGTCCAAATTACCCTCATCAATGTCATGTTTGGTTAATGTAATACATCCAAGTGTATCTTTGCAAATTCCTTTGTACCTCCTGAGTAGTCTCACTATATCTTCCTGTTAATCTTTCTCCAGATGCAAAAACACAGTGTCTGAATTCTCTAATATCTCCAAACTTTTTAATCCAATAGAAGGGAGTTCTTTTTGAGCATTGTAAATTTCTCCCTCGCTCTCATCCTTTTGTCCTCTACCCTCTTTTACCACAGTTACTACCTGTCATACGTGGACATTCTCATCATCTTCTCTATATTGCACTGTTTCAACATGTTCACGTGACATCATTGATTCTTTACCCTACATAGAGTTATAGAGCATGGAAACAGACCCTTCCGTGCAACTAGTTCACGCCAACCACTTACCCAAACTAAACTAATCCCACTTGCCTGTGTTTGGCCCATATCCCTCCAAACCTTTCCTATTCATGTATTTATCCAAATGTCTTTTAAATGTTGTAAATGTATCTGTATCCACCACTTCCTGTGGCAGTTCATTCCACATACAAATCACTCACTATGTAAAAAAATAAATTGCTCCTCCTTTTTAAAACTTTCTCCTCTCACCTGCAAAATATGTCCCTAGTTTTGAACTCCTCCACCCTAGGAAAAAGACCCTTGCTATGGATCTTATCTATGCCTGTCATGATTTATAAATCTCTGAGGTCATCCCTCAACCTCCTACACTCCTGTGAAAACAGTCCCCAACCCGAAACGTCAACTTTCCTGTTCCTCTGATACTGACTGGCCCACTGTGTTTCTCCAACTCCACACTGTGTTGTCCCAGGTTATCTAGCCTAATTTTATAACTCAAACCCTCCATTCCCAGCAATATCCTGGTAATTTTTTTCTGAACCCTCTCTAATTTAATAATATCCTTCCTATAGCAAGGCAACCAGAACTGCAGACAGTACTCCAGAAGACGACCGGGAGTATCCATTATCAATATCGCATTACAAACCCTTTTAACTTTTTTCAAGGGACCACTGAACTTTGCTTTTATTGGCACATCTTGTAAAGAAAACAATACCAAAATTTCATCGCGATAACAAGGTGTAGAGCTGGATGAACACAGCAGGCCAAGCAGCATCATAGGAGCAGGAAAGCTGA